ATTTGATGTTGAAATCTCTCAAGGTTTTGTGCTGAAGTATTCCTGAAATGTGCTGAGCTGACGAGCTAATTAGTGACAACACCCCCATCTATCCCAAGGCCAGGGACCGAAAGTTCAACACATTTGAATTCTTCCTGGACAGATCCAGAACTTTCAAAAAGTGTACTCATTATAAAGTCCATGCACAAAACCTTCAGGTTCTAAATAGTTCTTAAAATATGTCCAATAAATTACCAGGATAGAATTAGTTGGGGCATGGTTTTATCTTCAACATAAAACCTTGAAAATAAGCATCATTTTTAGTGACCTAGTGCTTTGTATTCTTTTTTGAAAAAGTTGCCCAAATGCAAACTGTTACACCACGGAGTGGTGTGACCTTGGAAAATCACATAACATTGACTACATCAGTTTCTTCATCTGAAAAACGGGACTGTCACAGTGACTGCTTATAAAGCACTCAGAACACTATGCAGGGCTGAGTAAATGTCAATTACGCCTTCACAGTTTTTGTTTTCATTAAGGAAGAAAATATATCATTTTTAGGAAACAAGTTTAAAGAAACATCACTTTTTTAAAAAAGAGAACTATTCATTCAATCTTATTTATTATTGTTATCATTATCCAATTTGACCAGAGAGAGGAGACAGGAAAGAGAGAGAGAGAGAGAGAGAGAGAGAGAGAGAGAGAGAGAGCAACCCGCCAGGTGCAGGAGCATGGTGCATTCGGCCACGTGGGAGTCCAGGACCTCCATCACCATGCCACCTGCCAACCCCCAAGAAACATCGCTTTTACCAAAGAGAGAGCAGGCTTCCGGTGTTGAATCAACTGCACTATCTAGCTAGACTTTTTTTTTTTTAAGAGAGATTTTTGCTATAGGGCATGTGCGCTTGCCGGAGAGACAGAAAGTGAGAAATCACTCCCCCCCACAGTGGCTGGCCATGCCACATTCCTTCTCCTCTCCTCCATTCTCCTATCAGGATTTTGGGCATGCACACACACGTGTCCAGTGTGGGTTTCAAGCAGCCAGGTCCGGGACTCAAACCGCAGTGGGCCATTTGGGAGTCCAGCAATGTAACCATGACTCCATCTGCTGGTCCTTCTAGCTAGACTTTATTTATTTATTTTTTAAAGAGATTTTTGCTACAGGGCGTGTAGCAAAAATCTGGAGAGACAGAGACACAGAAAGCAAGACATCACTCTCCAGGGGGGATGGCTATGCTGCAACCCCTTCTCCTCCATTGTCCTCTCGGGATTTTGGGCATGCACGCACACACACGTGGCCAGTGTGAGTTTTAAGCCTTCGGGTCAGGGACTTGAACCATGGTCAGCCATGTGGGGGGTCCAGTGATGTAACCATACACCTTGTACTGGTCCCTCCAGCTAGACTTTTTTTTTTTTTTTTTAAAAGATTTATTTATGTGGGGAGACC